TTATTTCATTTATGATGTCAGCAAGTTAGTTATAACTAACTAATGTATAAATAGCTTAGTCTTCACTTATTCTGATTTGTACAAAACATTTTTCTTACAAATCAATATACTTTTCTCTCGATTCTTCCTCATTCTCTCTACATTTCTATATGGTATCAGAGTTGAATCTCACTTGAGATTAGGGTTCTAGATGAGCCAAATATATACAAAAGATTGGTTGGCATATTATTGTATCTTGGAATTACAAGACCAGACTTATATCATAGATACTAGTATGAAAATTTTGTTAAGGATGAGGTTATGCCGTAAATTAGCCATAAAATCAACCACATGGTTAGCTAATTTTTTAAGCTTAAGCATTGATAGAAATCTCAATGTCTATAACTAATAAACTTTCATAATCCATCATTATTGTTCACACTTCACATACTAGCTTGTCGATGTTACCATTGCAATGCTTTTGTTGAACTTGTAGGACATACTTCATCGAGGGTCTTAATATTCCTTTCCAAAACTAGTTGAAGATCGGCTTATTTGATTTTCCAACAATCAACATCAATAATTGTTCAAAGGCTAATAGGTAGGTTATCCTTAAGGATTGATTTGACTAATGTTTTTCGATCTATATACTCCATTCATTTTTTTTCTTTTTCTTTTTTTTTCATGCAATGCATGCTTATTGCTTACATATTGACTATAAGCTTTTGGTCATTATTATTACATGCTAAGTTTCTTGGTTGCTTCTTCACTGTTTTGTTGGTCACATCACATATTAACAATTTTTTTGTGGTAATATGAAAAGCAATTATTGTTGTACTATACATACATTTTAAGTTTATAGTCTATCATCTTATCAATTATTCAAAATATATTGAAATATATTAATAATTAGAATAATGGTTCTTGCAAGAGAAGATATCCATACGTAAGATATTTGCAAGCATGACATTACATAGAAATGTATTTAGAGTACAAAATTTTGTAAGAGTAAGAGCCATTCTAAAGAGTAATGAAAAAGCTCTTGCGTTTATGGCCAAACACGAATAAGAGCCTGAAAGAGATTGATTGTTGCCTTTCTCATTGATTTACCTTGAGTATAAATACACAATTACAAGAGATATACTAGGAAACTAACTAGCTACAAACTAGGCTAGGATAAATACAATTACCAAACTAATTATATACAAAGTCAAACCGAATATATATTCATATATTCTAACAGAGCCCTGTTCATTCTCACCTTATTTATTTAAGCGACAGTAAAATAAACTTTACTGAACTGAAAATGATTTTATTAAACTTAAATTATTTTTATATCTGAATTGATCTTGTAAGAGATCTGCGACAGACCGAATACGTTTATGTTTCAAATGATTCATATCATCAAGTGTACCCATTCCAAATTTCATTCCAATCAAATGATTAAACTGAAAATATCTTTATTAAACTTAAATAAATTTTTTATTGAATTGAAATTAATTTTACTCGGTATTTTTACTATATGTTCTCGATTAGATTTATTTTTTAAAATGCTTCAAAAAATATTGTTTTTTAATATAACTGATTTTTACTAAATTGATATTATTTTATCGAATAGTATTTTTCATTCTAAGGTGAAGAGAACAAGGTATAATCTAATTTGATGAATAATTGTTATGGAAAAGCTAGTATTGAAAATGCCAAGCAAAAAAAGAAAAGAAGTATACTACTAACCCTTACAACACTAATAAAATAACTTTATGATGGTTGGTCACACGGTGTGGGAGTGTGACTGGTCACGTATGTATAAAAGTTAGTGAAAAGTTAAAACATATCTATTGAGGACAATGATCTTGTGGGGGAAGCCAAAGATTTGCCAGAAATTAATGTGTGATTATAATTCATGCAATTGGAAATCATGCAGTATATATTTAGTACGACCTTCTATCAACATGGATTATGTGGAATTATGGAGTTTTCCTGTTTGGTTGGGAACTGTTGGGACACAATTAACTCTTCTGCTTACACCAAGCCATGAACATATCTTACAATTTGTGACACAAGGGACCTCTTTGAGCTGGACATACTATTTTACTAACCCACTCTATTGGCTGGCTAATTAGCCCTTCTCGACCATCTTACAATGTCCAATACATATTATAATAAGTCTGCCTATACCGATTGTGTATGGGAGGTGTTACAAGCATGATGGAATACGATTTGCTATACTAGGCAATTGGCATATATATTATCATCTAGACATCTACGGAGTACATATTGCATACCTTATATTCTGCTATTTCTTATCTGAATGTGTCTCATCATACTCATTACCATTAACATTAAATAATTGAATAAAGTTATTTATGGAACGACGAAGGGACGGAGGAAGTATATATAATTGAAACAATGCTCCTTTTAATCCAAGCGCTTTAATAAAATTGCCCGCCACTCGTGTACAAATCATTGAAGTGCCTAAACTTTTTGCTTCATCCTTCAAGTACAAAGGTGTGGTAGTAAATAAATAAATTATTAATTCCACAATTTTCATTTAAAGAGCTTCATAGTAGTAGTAATTGGAATTTGAGAAATGTGGACATCTTTAATTTTGCATAGCTTAGGCAAAATACAGTGGGTCCATTTATTAAAAATATGTAAAATGATATACTTATTTTCCACCTATAACAAGAGAAAAAGACAACCCTAATAATTTGTTTGTCATGGGAATTAAGTAACAAGCGAAAGTGGAAGACAATGTGGAATCCTATTTTATTAAGAGTTTAATTAAACTAGATCGTAGGAACACACACCCTTTTCTTCAAGTGTCAATGTTTTGTCAATACTAGACACATTCACATAAATTCATGTATATTTGCCCTTGTATTAATCCATATGTGTGGGCTTAGCTTGCTCTTATAATGGGTTATACGTAGTATATATTTTGCAATTTTATACGTGTAGATTTTTTAACCTAAATACAAAACATTATTATGTAGTTAATTAGTTACACACTTACACCAATATATTTTATATATACAAATGGAATATTAATTTTGTAATGAAATCAATAACAAAGAATTAGATATTTGGGATTATTGACATAATATAGTGCATATCAAACCTCCCAAATGACCAACAACGGAGTGTTCTATATATTTTCTATTTCATCAACTACCTTATTTTTTAGGCGTGATAAATATAATCTTTAACTTCTGTTGATGAATTCATTTAATTAAATATTGAAATGGAAAAAGATGGTAAAAACGATGGCAAGTATAGTCTAATCAATTTACTGAATTGATGACAAATATTCGGTAGGGTTGGACATTAATTGTCAACATGTATAGTTTTAATAGCCATATGTAAGATATTTTGAAGATTCATGATATATGGTTGGAATAGGTAAGGTGGTTGTTGATTGTCCTAAAAGAATGTACATTAAACAGTACATTACAATCACTTATTACTACTTGGCATATTTATAGAGTACGTAAATTTTTACCCACAAAATTGATAGGGGTGATATAACAGTTCTATGGTGGGGGGCATCAATCCCATTGATTAGACTTTTAACTGATGACTTTAAATTATGGTTAATAACTTAATAACAGAAGAGACAAAACATACTTACAAATTTAATTGTGATGTGTGTCACATAACATATAGATACCTACAATATAAATGGAGTATTATCATTTGGGATTTTTTGGTGTATCATATAAATTTTAAGCTCAATATATGCAACACTTGCATTAATATGTGTTCACACTTAGAAATTAAAAGGCAGCATCATATATATGAAGGATTAAAGCCAAAATAAGGTCTTAAGAAAGACTAGTCATATGGTTTGCATGTAGCAAAGTTGATGAAGGGATAAAGGAAACGTGGAAGCATGAAAGAACATAGTTTGCCCCATCCAAATTAGTCTATTTTCTAACATCCCACCCCATGTTACCTAACTAGCTGTGGACCTTCTCATTGATCATCTGAGTTTCCTCTTATTTTTACGTCATTTGACCTAAAAAGTGAGTTTAAGTGAAAAAAAGGGATAGAGGGAGTACTATGCAAAACTAAACTCCACATAGTCCTATCGCATGCTATGGATTATGCACTTGATCATTTTTATCATTCGACAAGTCTTTCAATAAAGTTGGTTCATCTCTGATGTACCTCTTTTCAAATAAATCTATATCAATAAGAAAACATTGTTTTAAGTTTAACAAATTAAGAATGACATGCATCAATAATTCAATATGCATATATATATTACACCGTCCCATAACACACCATCCCTCTTCAATCTGGCATTCCGGCCTCATGGTTTAAAATCTTTAAATACTAATAGGGACTGATACAAATTGGTCTTTTACCATAAATAAACAAATAAGTAAAAATAAAAAGTTAGAACACAATTTGATTTATTCATTAGACAATTTTAGTTCATGCCCACAAATTAGGCAACTAGGTCACTTCAAGTGTCCCCCATAAACCCTTCTCTCTTTTATCCTGGTTGCTGATTTATTTAATTTTTTTCAATAAATAAAATGGAATACACAAGTTAAATAAAGAACCTGAAAGATGATTAGAGGATAAATACATAAAGGATATAATATTTACTTATTTTTTTCCCCTCATATATATCAATGCTTAGCTTATTGAATTGTGCCTTTAGCTTGCCTTTATACACCTTCATGCTATTTTTTTTATCATAGTAGTCGATAATAATAATTGTGACGGCCTTAATGTATAAATGTCACAAATCGAAAGCAACATGTATTTTTGAGTATCCATAATGTTTTATTATTATAGTATGAAGGTAGGGCGCGGCAATATACAAGAAGTAAAAACAATTATATACAAACGAACCTTTCATTTAACAAGCAGTGGTTTTGCCGTTAATTGAGCAAATTAAAGGTGATTGCCTTGGCCTACATACGTACGTAGATAAAGGACTAAGACCGGTATGTTCACAGGCTCAAGATTTGAACTAGCTAAATTAATTATCATGCCGGTAAGACATCCCGTACAATATATAGTGTTTAAATGTGGCGGTGTGATCAGATAGGCATATAAGAGATAACAAGATATAAGAGAGCTAGCTTAAAAACCCTTAATTAATACAAGGAAATAACACATAACAAAAGAAAACAAAAAAAGAAAAGAAAAGGAAAGATGAAAAGGAAGGGGAAGTGAGCAAAAAAACAGCCCCATTTGCCATGTCTATGTTGACAAAACAAAGGTGGACCCTCCGATCTCTTATTTAAGTAAGTAGGCTTTTCTCTTACTAGTATTTTATTAAGTTATAAGCCACTCTTATCAAAGTCTTGTTTACTCAACAACCTTCGTATCCCCATTTCTCTCGAACCATATATATAGAGATATATATATATATATAAAGAGAGATCAAGTGTTAGATATACTTGTAAGTTAATTATATACCTTCTTGTTTGTTAATACACTAAGCTATACTAACAATATATACATCCTCAAATTATCACATACATAATATACTATCTAGCTAGGTAACTATACTATCTCCTTAATAGTTAAAATCATGAGGCCTACTTTGTTGTTGGTATTTCTTGTGGCCTTACATCTTCTACTTTGTGGAGCTTATGGTATGTACACTCTACAATATGATTCCAAGATATATTATCATTGTTTATTATTCGCGTTTTTTTTTGTTGTTACAAAGATTTCATGAGTAGTGATTCTGAGTATAATTGTTCGTTGTAATTTTCTATAGGTGCTCGCCTTGGTAAATTTGCCATGAAATCGGCTACTTCTCAACCTACCAACTTGGTGCGTGTCCATGTATGTATTTCTTGATCCTTCTTGTATTATTTAGAAATGAACCTTAATTTTGTAATATATCTTCAAACTTCTTTTATATAATTATTATGTATCTAAACAATACATCTACTTATTTTGCAGGAGAATAATGAAAATACTATGAAGAGATTAGATGATGATCAGAATAATATTATTGTTGATAAAAAGGAGATATCAACCGAAGTTAAATGTAAAGACGACGAAGACCATTGTTCATCAAAAGGTACTTTGAAGAGAAGAGTCATCAAGGAGTCTAATGAATATCACCACCATCATCATCATCCTCATCATAATCATCATCCTCATCATAATAATCGTCACGGGTTTCCATGGATTTATGAAGATTACCGTGGACCTTACAGACATCGCCCTAGGCACCATTAGATTATAGTTATATTAGCTATACCTCATATATCATCATCGCTTTTATTTTTGCCAAAAAAAAAGAAGCTTATTATTTTCATCTTAGGTCAATATATTAATTTTAGGCAAATTCTTGGATTAAGATAAGATATTTTTATTTTAGAGGTAGCTAGCTAGCCCATGACATTACATGTAACTCCTACTTGATCTTCAAGGAAGTCTTGAAGTAGTAGTAGCATTTTTTTTAAAACATTGATTATGCTTAAGTTTTGAGTAAGTTTTAAGTATTATTTAATTGATTCTCTATGTTTATATGGGTTTGTTTTATCTATTTTTGCAGGAAAGTATAGAAAATTAATTACCTCAACCACCATCCCAACTTCCTCTGCTAAACCCATCCAAGAGGTTGGTACTAAATCTTAACACATCAAGTACATTTATTCACCCTACTAATTAACTTTAATTAGCCAATTAAAAAAAAAAAAAAAAACTCCTTTATTTAATTTTGTTGCACCATTGACATGGTACACACACTACATGCACTATTGCACTATATATTTTACATATATGACATATGATAATATAATAATAGGTTTAAATTTAAGAAGGTTAGTTAAAAACAAGAATGATGAATCAAAAGGCTAATTAGAGCATTATTTAATTTAGAATGATATGATTTTAATCACGGTCAATTAATTAATTTACAGAATTTGGACAAGGAAGGAAAAAAGATGAGCACCAAAAGGAATGACAAAGCTCAAACATTATCATCATCCTCGATTCATCATAAATATCCATCAACGGCGTATGCTCTTGATAAGCACAAGGAGATTGCTCCTCCGGAATATGAGAATGCAATGGACATGACTGTAATGGATTACTCCCCAGCAAAGAAAAAACCTCCAATTCACAATTAAAAAAAATACATACATGTTCTAATATCAAATCAAAGTTCATTTATATTAATTATTTTCTCCAAATTTCATGGAGAAATACAAGGAATATGCATGGAAGAAAGGAGAGTTTAAAGCTGGTGGCTAGCTAAGCTAGCAATAGCATATAGTGGATAGAGCACAAAAAGAACAGCAATACAGAAATGCTGCAGTCTTTTTAGGGTTTTAGGATTATAGATATTGTATATAATTAGCTTAATTAGTAATAGCTGATGATATACACAATATAGTATTATTATTTCAATTCATGCATTAAATAGGGTTTTTTTCTGAAGGGAGAGGTATGATTATATGATTGAGTCATAATTAGTATTCCCGGATCTTGCTTAATTAGGCTTTTCACAACCTATATTATATACTTGTAATAATTGTATGATGATGTAAAAAGTACACGAAAAAGTATCCATAATAAAAGCTGTTTATATTTTAATGTTGAATATGTATGTTCTTTTGATTTTTAGAAGTATATGTTCGAGCCAAAAGCTTGATTAACTACTGTCTTTTCAAAGAATAACTATGGCCCTTTTAACCGCATGTAAAACCTTGATATATATTACAAAGTACCTTGCATTGCCTTTGAAAATAACACTTTACTCAACTTTATATATATGCTTTGCCCAAGTAAAATTTTAATTAATTATTATTAATTAGTATCTCTAACTAAGTAACTAATATGTATTTTATTTTGAATTGATTTATTGCACTACTATGTTTCAATCAAGTCAGCCACTTGATTTTATATCTTAATTATTTCATCTTAAACCAATCTATTATATAATTGAAATAGAGTAATAATGAGATTGAAAAGTCAGGAGAAGGAATTTTCTAGCAAATATATATTCCGTTTTTTTTTATTATTTTTTTTATTTTTTATTTTTTTTTGAAGTAGTAACATAGTACGTGTTAGATAATAAAAAAAAAATGTTATTTGTGAATAATATAATTAATACTCCGTATAATGTATTATTGAGAAGTTGTTGAGTCATAAAGATTGACCCGACATTGAAAACTTACAATATATACACGTGAATATTCTTAATTATCTAAACTCACCCTATACTTGAGCTACAAGAATATGTCAATTATATTCAAGTGGAAGGAATTGTGTATAGTTTGTCATTGATTTGTGGCATGCACACTGATATATCATGGGTCTCAATTATTTATTTTCCTCTTCTATGCATTGTACGGATAGAGTGAGAAGTTGTTAAGTGTGTGAACGTGTTTTAAAATCAAATAGAGTATAATAGGAATACATATATATTTGGTTCATTTTTACTCCATGTATGAATATAATTAATAACTTGCATGGATATTATTTCAAAACAAAAAAAAATAAAATAAAAAATAACTTGCATGGATATACCTATTATTTATAATCCACATAACATAGAATACATCTTATCATTAATTATATACTTTATGGAATAGATACATGTTATATATATGTGTAGGAAATCTAGCTTGCAAAGTTTAGACGCCCACTTATTTGAATATGTATCGTTCTCGAATCTCGATCACTTGTGATGACTCACACCCGTTGACCCATGCATCATACTCACATGGAGCTCCATCCAACCGATCTTGGAAAATTGCCCAAATTTAGAGGAGAATTACATTTTAAACATACCCTATAGGCCTTGTTTGATTGGATGTGGGAAGTAGAAATTCCTATGAAATTGTAATTCTTAAGAATTTCCAAAAATTGTTTGGTTGGATGTGGGAATTTCCAATTCCCATGGGAAGTTCCACTTACCTAGGGGGGACTAGGTAAGTTAATTCCTCCATTTTGTAGGAAGTTCTAATTCCTACATTATTGTCAACCAAACAAGCATGCATAAATCCATTTCCTAGGAAATCAAAATTCCCATGAATTTGTTTGTCAACCAAATAAGGCCTATGTAAATATTGTTTTATTGTTTTGTTATTACTTTAATTTCTTGAAATAAACATAACTTTATTTTTTAACAGATACATATATATCTTATGTGAATGTAGAATTGTCTCGTTAAAGATACATTCATCACTCCAGTACTCCACGAAAATGCTTAGCAAAAATATTAGAGAAAAATAAATAAGACAACAAAACTAAATTCTACGGAGTAACTTGTTGATACACATGGGATACTATACTAAGCTATCAAGTATGGGACTAATTGATTTGAAAGGCTTGAATCATCATTCAAGTTGATGATGATACATGAAAAGTATGAATACGATATGTTTGTGCTTTAATAGACATGTTGGGTATGTGAAAAATGAAAGGTGGGGCCAAAATTCAAGAATACTACTATCATTATTTATTATTTTATTTGTTAAGATTGATATTTTCATATTTTTTGAGTTTGGAAATTTGGAAGAAATTCAAGGGAGTTGAGGGGGGGCCATAGTTGAAGTTTAAATAAAGGCAGGTAAGAAGGGAACAATTGGGCCTAGAAGTAGGGCCCACCATGTTTCGATGTTTTTTATTCGAGTCGTCACTCTAAAAAGAATTGCATGTGGGCTCGCATGATGTTACAAATTTTTTCCTAGACTCTAGGGTAGTCAGCTTCTCCTACACCCCCATGCTACTACGTCGTTTTATATTGAACTATTCTACCATTTTTTTTCTTCATCTTTTTTCATTTTTGTTAACTTTCTATTCAAGCAACTATATAATGATTTTCTTAACCTAATTTCCATTTTATTTATCTCATATTTTACTTATTTCATTTTCTCTCTCCTGCATTTTTTATTTTTCCCCCAATTTTTCTCTCTCTTCTTCCATGGAAATTTCTAGCTCAATTGCGTTTGATCATGACAGTGATTCTAGCTTAATTGCTTTTGATCGTGATTGTGATTCTATTTTTTCTGCTGGAGTTGGTTTAGTCGACTCGTTTTCGAAACAATGTGAGTAATTTTTTCCTCAATCATTCGATTTTGATTATGCTCTGTTTTTCGCGTGTAATAGTTCGATTTTGATTTTTGATTTCATAGTTTTGCTAGTTGTATGAACTATAGTTTATATAATGCTCAATTATAATTTTTGATTTTATTGTTTAGCTAATTGTTATTGCTTATTGTATGAATTAAAATCAAAATTATGGTCGATTATAATATTTGATTTCATTTTTATTTATGATTATTTTAATTTATAGTTTGTGATGTATTGTTGTGATTTTATTGTTTTTCTTTGTAATGTTGTTATTCGATTGATGTTTTTTCAAGTTTTCTGCATTTTAATGATTGTCTATAGTTTTATAAAATTTGACATTCAATTAATGCTCATGTATGTTATATTATATGTACATTTACGTTAACATAGGTGTAATTACTGTAATTTACATTTATCTATGTAATCATAAATGTTCATTTATATGTTTTATTATCATTTTGATATATGTTCATTTATGTAATGATAAATGATCATTAACAGTTTACATGTGGTTATTGTACATTATTGCTATTATTTGTGTTCATTTGTTACATTTTAATATTGCAGTGGAAAAAAAGAATGCTATTTTATTTGAGGAAGCAGCTAGTTCTGAATTTTATGGGAAACAATTTCCTTCTGAAGATGTGGCTTATGAAATGTTTAAGGAATATGCATTTAGAAAGGGTTTTGGAATTAGAATTGGAAAAAGTAAGAGGCGAAGAGATGATTCATTCTCTATGAAAAGATTTGTTTGTACAAATGAGGGTTTTAAAGATGATAAGTGCAGGAATAATAGGCTGTATGAGAGACTTAACATAAGGACTGGTTGCTTAGCTTTTGTGCATTTTAGTATTGACCGTTCAGGTGTATATACATGTACAAGACATGAGATGGTTCATAATCATGAAATGATTCCTGTTGACAAGAGACATTTAATAAGGTCTCAAAGGGATATTTCTAAGGAACACATTAATTTCATTTCTACACTTAGATTGAGTGGAGTTAAAGTTTCTGATTCTTTGAGAGCTTTGAAGAAGGAGGTTGGAGGGTCTCCTAACCTTTGTTTTACAGCTCCTGATGCTTATAATGCTATTTCTGTTGAAAAGACAGCTAAACTTGGGGGAGGTGACAGCAATCAACTAATCAAATTTTTTGCTAAGAGACAAATTGATGAAGCAGATTTCTATTATGATTTTGAACAAGATGAAAATGGTGCATTGGTTAATTTCTTTTGGAGAGATGGAAAGATGATGAGAGATTATCATTACTTTGGTGATTTGTTAGTTTTTGATACTACTTATAGGACTAACAAATATGGTATGATTTGTGCTCCATTTGTGGGTATGAATCATCATGCAAATAATGTGATGTTTGGCATGGGATTTATACTTAATGAAAGAACAGAATCATTTGAGTGGTTATTTGATACTTTTCTAACTTCTATGGGAAGGAGAAGTCCTATTACTATTATGACTGATCAAGCTCAAGCAATTGCAGCTGGGATAAGAAATATTTTCCCCAAAGGTGTTCATCATAGATTATGTGTGTGGCATATTGAACAAAATTCTAAGAAACACATTGGGGCGTTAAGAGCTTTGGATGGTTTCACTGATTTATTTGGTTATTTACTGAAGTATTGTGAAACTCCACCAGAATTTGAGCATTATTGGAAAAGGTACTTCTGCTTTATACTTGTTTAGCTTCTTAAATAATTTTTACAGAAATGAACATTTAGTTTTTTATAAATGTTTATTTATAATGATCATAACTGTTATGCTTAATGATCATGTTTCATTTACAGAATGTTGTTGAAATATGACTGTGCAAATGTTGATTGGTTGAATGATTTGTATAAAATCAAAGAGATGTGGTGTCCAGCTTTTTCAAAGAAATTTTGGTCAGGAGGTGTGCTTTCATCTCAACGTAGTGAGACAACTAACAAATCAGTTTCTCAAAGGCTTAACAAGACACAAGGTCTATGTGATTTCTATCAAGTGTTTCTCGATGTGGTTCAAGAGTGGAGAAGCAAAGAAAAAGGGAGAGATTATAATACAATCAGAGGTAATCGTCATTTGGCTTTTGCATACATTGGGATTCTTGTTCATGCTAGATCATTGTATACTATTCAAGCTTATGTGCTTTTTGAGGAAGAGTTCATTAAGGGTACTGCTTGTGTTCATAAGGATGCTGGTGTGAATTTTCCTGAATATTATTATCATTTGTGGAGACCTGGGAAAGATATGATCAAGCACGAGGTTGTTTTTAATAAAGAAACACATGCAATATGTTGTACATGCATGTTGTTTAGTGAAATGGGTTTGCTTTGTTGTCATGCTCTTCGAATTTATCATATGAATTGTGTTCATAAGATTCCAGATGACTATATATGTAAGAGGTGGACTAAGGCTGCTATGTGTAGTCATGGCCTTGATGAACCTACAATGAAAAACCAATGTAGTATCTACAAGTGTTTGGAGGACACAAACACTAAGGAAATTTGTTAAGTTGGTAACAAGTTGTCAA